GGTCTTGCCAAGTTGCCCAGGCGGGTCTCGAACCCGCGGGCTCAGGCAGTCCACTCACCTTAGCCTCCCAAAGAGCTGGGATTATACAGGCTGAGCCACTGAGCCCGGCCTAGTAAATTGTTCTATATCAGGCACTGTGCTAGGCTCTTGTAACACACTGGAGAAGACCAGCTTGGTCACTGCCTTTTTGGAGATTGTAAATGTTCAATACAATGTTTTGATGGAATTTATGAGAAGTTTAACCAGGGAATGACTTTTTTCCTTCATTTTTCAAATAAATTTTTCCTAAACTGTTAAAAGATGATGATGGTTTGATCACCATAGGAGCCAGATTGGGAAGAATTACTGTTCTTAATTCAGGAAAGGTAGATTGAAGGATTTTTTATTTTACTATTTTTTTAAACAGAAAATTTGTGAATGGAAGCAAAAAAGCCACTTTATTTTTAGTCTGAATTAGAATTTAGTCTTTGATGCCATGGAATTATTTTCCCACAAAATTGATAAACAGGGAGAACAGAAAAGTTATTTTTAAAACCAGTAAAGAAAGAATAGCAAAATAGAGTTTGTTTTTTTCTCCCTTTCATGGTGAAGTAGTCTGTACTGGTTCATCGACCTAAAAAAAATTGTAAAAGCTTAAAAACAACTCAATAACTAATAGTAAGCAGAAAAGACATAGAAATGTGAAATCCTTGACTTTGTACTTTCTATATAAAAAGCAAAAATCCAATGAAGCCAATTTGTATGTCAACTTGAAGAGATCAGGACAGCTTGTATGGTGTAAAGAATCCTGACATCTTTTCCAAGGTGACAGAACAAGCTGTTGAGAATATGTGGTGCATACTGTGGGTGTACTTTTTATGTCTTTGGAAGATTTTAAATATAAAGGAACATGACATTTTGCCATGCGTCTTAGTAATATGAATGGATTGTGGAAACTAGTTAGAAATAGTTCCATGATGGGAAAAAATTGTTTAAATTTGGATTTGGCTTGTATTTGTGTGTGCTTTTAATTGGATTTTAATTTAATTAGTGTTTTAAACCTTGTACAAACACATATTTAAAATCAGAATGTAAAAGGAGACATAATGGATTAGAAAGTTTTTTTTCACTAAAAATACAAAATTACATATTTTAAAAATAGAATTGGCTTATATTACAAAGGTGTAAGAAGTCTTTAAGATACTGTTGTCTCTCATATATGCTAAGGTGAACAAGATGTTATTTCTTGCTCTTAAGTAATTTATCTAGCGAGGAGATTAAGACATTTTGTGAGTCAGGTTCTCTAGAGAAACAGTTTGTGTTTGTGTGTGTGTGTGTGTGTGTGTCAGTGAGAGAAATTATAGGTGTGAACCACTATGCCTAGCCTAAAATATTTATAATAAAAATTAAAGAAAAAAGACCAAGAAAATACTTTTCACTGTCTCAGAATAAATCAAGGTAAAACCACTTCTCCACCACTTGCCTACAGAAGTAGAACCTCTTAATACACACACACACACACACACACACACACACACACACACACACACACACACACA